AGAGTTTGTGAACAATATTATTCTCAAATTAGAGCCCTAAAGTTCATTATTGTTTATTATGATTTTTAAGCAGTTTTGGGAGAGTGGATGCAAAGTTTCTAGAGGCCTTATCCGCAAAGCCTGCTTTAGCTACTGCTACGTACAACTACCGACATACCTTCTTTAACAGTTTTACTTTAAAATTAAATATTTTATAGTATATATGTGTATCTTTTATAAACTTTTATTGATTGTTAATGGAAATAAATATAAACGCAAGCATTAAATTGTGTCGTTTAAACCATTCTCCAATTAAAAAACAATTGAATTTATACTAAAAGATCAATTTCAAGATTTTTTATTCTTTAAGATAAGTAACCTCCAGATATGCATTTTCAGAAAAATGTAAATAATATGTTTAAAAAAATCATGGTAATCAGAGTTTGTGAACAATATTATCCTCAAATTAGAGCCCTAAAGTCCAAATATTTTTTAGGAAAGGGGGCGATGATAGCACTTAAAAAACTCTAACATTGTGAACTTGACTAAAATTCATCTGTAAAATTTGCATTTAGTCAAATACTATTTTAACGTTCAAAAGGTATAAGCTCGTAACGTTGACAACCCCCTCAAAGAGAGGGGGTTTCAAACTTTCCTTGGACGCCATTTATGAACCATAAGAAATTTTTTAAAGATAAATTAATTTTCCCGATGAATTTTGATCTTTATTAAGATACTGCAAAGAAAAAAAAATTTTTTTTGTATCCACATTTGGGACAGTGGGCTCTAATTTTTCAGATGAATATTTGTTCCCAGGCTCCTATCATTGTAATTTTTTGTAAAATATTCTTATTTGATACCAGTATCAATATTACAAAATTTGAAGTTTTCTAAAAGTTACCTAACAGAACAAGATACAGTGGTTTCGAAAATATAATTCATTTCTGGTGTACTTTTTGTTTCGTAAGAAATATTTCCGCTAGGCTGTGATACACCACCTACGTTAAAAAACATATTATGCAACAACAAGTCAAAATTTATTCCTAATAGCAATCCTGGTGTTTACAATCTCAGATGCTCCTGTCGCAGTATATACATTAGCGAAACAAAAAAGAAATCTTTAACGAGATGCGTTGAATATCAAAAAAATTATTTAAAGGGTAAATGGGATGCATCTCGTGCAACTGAACACGGTAAAGAATGTAATGGTATGTTTGATTGGTCAAATCCGAAAACTCTAGCAATAAAATCAGAATACGATGAAAGGAAAGTTAGAGAATTACTTGAAATTAATCACACCTCAACATACCAGGAAATAAAATAAGCTCCTACACTTCTCAAACGTGACAATGGCGTTAAAATTTCTACAAACTGTTTAAGACTATTTTTTAAAAAAATTATCCATGAAAACGGACTTAAATAATATCTGCTAATTATATTTTTACGTTGTTACGTACCATTTATGGCTTCTTTTTAATGTCTTCTTTGACGTTTTTATGTTACATTTATAACGGTTTTTTTATTATATTTTACGTCTGATAACGATCTGTGCAAAGACAGGTCGAAATATTACAAAGAAAAAATTTAGTTTGTACGCAGCTGTTGTTTTATGCTTTATATTTTAAATATATATATATATATATATATATATATATATATATATATATATATATATATATATATATATATATATATATATATATATATATATATATATATATATATATATATATATATATATATATATATATATATATATATATATATATATATATATATATATATATATATATATATATATATATATATATATATATATATATATATATATATATATATATATATATATATATATATATTCTCGTACAACAAGATATGACATTGAAATTTTCACTAACAAATAGGCAATTTTTTACGTACTATAATAAGGAAATGAAAAACTGTTTTTTTATTTTTTTTTTTTAATTACTTTTTTACCTCGCGCTGGCCTCATCAAACTTTCAAAAAAAAACTTTTTTTTATAAATTGCACAATATACCGCATATTGCATAATAAAAAAATAAAAAAACTGGATACTGCTTTAACAAATGAATTTTTATGTTATTTAAAAGACATATACCAAAAATTATCATTGTAGGTTCATTTTCATGCTTTGCGCCAGACCTGTAATCATTGATACTTTTTACCGGTTGTAACAAATCAATCAATGAAATCCAGGTTTTTCTGGCGGTGGTTCTTCTGATGAAGATAGAACTCTGATTTTTTTTTATCTATTCCTAAATAATTTATAGAAATATAATAATCACCAGTATATTTTAATTAAGGTTTTTTTCACCACTAAAAAAATAAAAATCCCCAAATTTCATAATTTCAAAGTAAAAAGTGTATAAGAGCATAATATATGAAAAAAACAAACAAGATAAGTGTCATTTTACAACAATTTATTCCTAAAATTGCGAAAATCAAAAAGGTAGCAAAATCAGTTAATTGTGAAGAAAGTTTTGAAAAACGATAATTTTTTTGAAATTAGATCTTCATATTTTGCAAACAGTTTAATGCACATAAATGGAGGGCCTTAACCAAAATCACTGCTATATTTTCAGTAAAAGTTGAAATTTTTGATTTTTTACGCAAAAACATCAAAATGGGTTGGCTAAAGAGATGAAATAGAAAAATATAAATAATTCATCAAATCTAATAATGTTTTTGGTTCACGCCCTCCATCATTACAAGTAGAACATATCATGAATACCTGAAGCAAAAAGCTTTAGTCATTCAAAGTTTATGATATTTCAAAAATTAAAAAAAGTGAATGAAGAAAAACAACAATAAACATTTTGTAACTAATAAAAATATCAAAAACTTCCAGATGAGTAGGGTTTAAAAGTTTCCAGTTGTTCTTCTTCATATTGCCAACCCTTGTTAATGGATTTTAAATGTATCCTTCTACTTTTTTTTTCAAAAGTGTCTTTTTTATTCATGCTGGTAACGCGTTTTTGATCCCTTTAAAATGAGGACACTGCGGATTTACACCATTATTAAGATTGAGGTGACTCATCACTCTCTGAACACCAGCCGTTCCCTCATTAAAATACAATACAGCTGAGTTCACTCCCAACTTAAATAAAGCTTTGTGAATAAAAATGTTTTTTGGGCATCTAGACCATAAAATATTATTAAGAAACTCATTAGAATTCTGTGTCTGACCATGAGCGCATTTTTTCAAAAAGTTGTCAATGGAATTATCACAAGATGGCATCAGATAAACCATACAAAAATAGCAACTTCCATAGACTGTTATATTCTAAACTTTTTTCAAACTATGCTAGCCTACTAAACTAATGCGTATCTAACCAAATTTAATAAAAAAACTTAAATCAAGGTAGAGAGGGAGGGCAGTTATAAACATAAGTTTGTGTTGCTAGGGGCCGTTGCTATGGTAAAGTTATCTGATAAGGTCTAAATAAAGTGAAATACCTCAAAAAAAACTCAAGATATATAAAAACAGAATCCAGAAACATTTTCAGCAATGTTGAATTACTACAAAACAAAAGTAATCTCAAAAACCAACTTTTGATAAAAATTTAGTTTTTTTTAATGGTGAACCTTAACTACCTAAAAAAAAAAGAAAGGAGGGGAAGCCGACCTAATTCAGTTTCTGAAATAAAAGTGGAAGGGAGACCTTTCTCAACCCTTTTTGGTTATTTCAATTTATTTATATTTTCTCATTATTAGAAATAACCAATAAGGACTAGAAGGGATTTAGCAATATTAGCAAGAAAACAGAAACGTGTTTAACAAGAAAAAATATGATTGCATTATTATTAATGATACAATCTTGTTAAACGCGTTTCTGTTTTCTTGCTAATAATAATGAATTTTTGAAGTGATGAAAAAAATAAAAATAAATATTTAAAAAAAATAGATTTGCTTATTAATAATTGAAGAATCGTAAAGGGTTGTAAGTTTTTTATTGTAGAGAGTTGTAAGTTTAAGTTGTGAACTTTAATATAAAAAGCGAAACTTTTTTCTGTGATTTAGCTACTTTGTAATTTTCTTTGTATAGTTGTTATAGTATTTTTTAAAACATCATAAAACTACACTTTGAAACACCGTTTGGCAAAAAAAACAAAAACAACTTCACAAAATTGAATTTATCTCTCCAAGGTCTAATGCTACTAAATGTCTAGATTTGTCAGAAAAAATCCTAGCATTCCAACAGAACCTTCAAGTTTTACAAACAAAAGTGGATGAAAATAAATTTTTTGCATACTGTCTAACTTATATACTTTCTTTAAGAAAAATGACCTCTAACATGAAACAATGAAATAAACAATACTTTCTGTCAGAGAACACTCTAAAGTTCTAAGAAAAAACTTCAAGACGATTACCAAATGTACCTGACATAAATTTGCACTTGCTAGAAGTCCATTCACTGTCGGAGATAAAGTTTTTTCCAAAACTGCACAAGATGAGCTGACCTGATTACCAGCAATGCAGCAAAAACTGATTTCTTTATTATGTCAATTGCCAATTTTATATTGTCATACCCTGTTCTGTTTAAGATCGTTTTGCGCCTGCTTCTTTTTTTTTCCTATTGGATATATTATTATATACCTTTGTGAAATAGACTTTTTTTTTTGGGTGCAATGTACATTTTACAATTAAGAATCACACACAATGGAAACTTCAAAGTTGAGCCTTTACAAAATGTTTACACTGTAAACATTTTTATTCATTAGTAAATATTTACAAACATGGTGCCTATAAATTATAAAATATAAATAAAATCATATATTAAGAAGTCAAAAAGAATAATAATTTACTGCGAAAATGCAGTGATTCAGGAGCAACTTTATTAATTTAATAGTTAGGGTTACTACAACTTGACAAATGTTACCAAGGGGACGCGGTTGCGAAAAGATATAAAATCTCTGCCTTAGATAAAACTTTCGTCCCGGCAATTGACACGACCTGACGTTGTGTGATGTCCATCCCCGGCGTTATTGCCTCATGTCAGAACCATTTCGTATGTAGTTGACGTAAATGTCGAACGCTAGTTAATTTTAAAAATTCTAAAATTTAATTTTTTATCATCAGCATTGTTAATATTTGTTTGAAAATTAATCATGACTGCAACTCCATTACAAATGCAGTCTTTTCAAAACCAACAAAAGAACTATTTATATAATTCACCCAATATTCTACCTAACAATCGTAACAGTGTACCAAGTAGCCCTTTTCTTCCTGGGTATCTATTCGGAAACTCGCCACAACCAGGTAATTCCCAAACAAACAGTGGAGGTTATTCTAATAATCAAAGATTTGTACCTACAGCAACCTCGTTGGGCTCAGGACAAGGTTACAAATATGTTTTTATAGATTTTTTTTTCAAATCAAAAATGATATTTATGATATTATATACCAATATTAATAATTACAATAATGATAGCAATAACAATAATAATAATAATAATAATAATAATAATAATAATAATAATAATAATAATAATAATAATAATAATAATAATAATAATAGTAATAATAACAATAATAATAATAATAATAATAATAATAATAATAATAATAATAATAGATAATTGCCCTTCTATATCAATAAAAAAAGTAGGTTTATTAACTAAATTTGATTTTAAGGGTTCTCATTTTCTTCTCCTGATCTTCAAAAGTACCAACCACAACAAACTCACCCGCGCCATTCACTTTTAAAAGAAGGTGCACCACCAACTGAAAGTTTATTTACTCCTTTAAGTGGATCACCAGAAAATCTTATGGAGACAGAGACAACTTATAGAGAATTTCAATCTCCTTCTGAACTTTTCTTGACACCAAGTAATCAATCATTTAATAAAAGTTTGTTTCCAACTTCTCACGATTTTATTCCACAATCTCCAGCACAAATTGATCCATTCTATTCTCAAGGTTTTTTAATTTGTTGTTGTTTGTTTTTTTATGTAAAGTTGTTAAAATTTTTTTCGTGTTTTATTTTGTATC